GTTCGAGAATAGTGTTGTCTAAACTTTTTTGAGCCACGGCACAACTTGGGTGTAAGTCATTAATAATGACTCATTACAAAAGTCGCACACAGCATGCGGCTTGCGTCATTTACAAAAAAATTCTACGGCAGACAGTTTGAACAACACTGTTCTGGAATGTGAAAGGAATTAAAAATAAACTTTAACATTCAGACCTTAAGCTCCATAGCTGCGCGTTATGCGTTATAAGGCTAATGATAGTTCAACTTGAGAGGGTTCGCCAGGCCTTCCGCTCAAACATAGACCTACAGTTTATATTGGGCCCAATGACATTTCTGCCTTTAGCCTACAAAGGAAGGCTCTAAGCCTCATTTCCAGCAGAACTCGAAGTCGATAGGGTTCGAGTCGACTCGAATTGACTTCGAGCTCTGATTTCCAGTACATATGATTCGAAAAAGGACAAGTGCAAATTTCCCATGCCGAATCTCGAACCCTTGATCGCTGTGTCACTATTGCAATAATTAGGTACCGAAGTACTAAATCATTCCGCCACCGAGCCACTTCAGGTTACAAAATAGAATTAAGGATTCAATAATTCGCATTAGCTTTAAAGGATTGTTATATTTTGGATTAGATCAGGTTTTAAGTAAGAGTCGCACCAGACTGGAACCTGCGGTTTGAATCATTTGTAGGCGAATCTTTCAATGATAGGACGTAGCCTGAAAGGATTTTTAATGGTTTTGTAAAGAAAAGTCGCAGTACAGAATGAACTTTGAACTTTAAATTTGGAATAAAAGTCTGTATTAATTCCAGATATCTCCTATAAAGTTGCCAGAAATTGAATGCCTTTTATTACTGAGTCATAAATGTTTCCTAATGCAGAAGAAGAAAAAATTCTAAAAATACAAAAATTACCTCAAACAACAAAACTGAGTAGAGATATCTTTAAATATGTACATGCATACCATCCAATACTAAATTTTAATATTTAATCAAATAATACAACAAGCATAAAAATAAAAATCCAAACTTTTATCGTAAAAGTGTTGCCATTCCTTGTTTAATTTTCTTTAATCCTACAAACTCATTCACAGACGCAAACATTTCAACAAGAAGGAATCATAAATGCGATGTTTTTTTTGGGGACATTTTTTTTTTCATTTTAAAAAGCAAATTTTTATTTTATTTTTATTCATTTTTGCTTATTTCGTTTCACTTAGTGGATAAAATGTGAATTCTATGCACCCCTCGTGATAAAAAGGAGAGAAACAACACAATTTGTGGATGTCTTTTCAATAATTCATGCTTCAATAAATATTAAAGTGTATGTGAATTTTTTTCTTCGGATCTGTGGCTTCCTCCCCCTTCTTACCACGTTTATGTACATTTTTACAACCAAAAAAAAAAAAGGTCAAAAAACTGAAGGGAGAGACATGCAAGAAAAGTTGCTCTAGAATCATAAGAACATCCCCAATAGTTAATCATAATTATTGCAACCTCTCTCCATTTTTCTTGTTCACTTTTTTCACCTTTTTTTATTCATTCATTTAAAGTATGACTGGAAGGTTGTGAACATTTATAACAACAGAAAAAAAAAACAAAAGAGTTTGTTGAAAATGAAAGCTGAAGGAAAAAAACAAAAGTTTTTATTGTTCTTTTGCTTTTTTCCTTTCCTCGTGCTCTCTTCCTCAACAGTTTATATTTTTATTGTTATTTGACATTCGTTTTTATTGCATTTTTTTTGTTGCTTTTTATAACTCACCTTTAACTTCCATCTTTGTATCTGCCATCTCTCTCGCCAAAACCATTTTTTTTTTCTATTTTTCCATAAAGCGAACATAGGCTTACGAACTTTTACCTTAATGTCAAGCCATGTCGTGAATCTCAAGTACAAATAAAAAAGAAAAATAACAATTCAAATGGGAAGAACCATATTTACAATACTATTCATATGCTGCATAGGAACAAGTGGTGTAGAGTCTCTCTATGCTGCAATATGAAACGCTTGCTTGTCTGGCAGTCAAATGTGGAATAATCTGGGAGCGGGTAATAATGCAAAAATATAAAACAGGGCAGTGGATCTCAAATTTACACATTAGTGTCGCGGATAAAAAGTTAAGAAGCACTGCATTAGATTATGTAAGACTTAATCCTCAAGTATGTTGGGGCACTCGATGAAAATTATACTCAGCGAACAATTTAGCTTAGACATTGACAAATAGACAAAATGAATAGATCAGTCCTAAATCTACCTTACACACTAACAAAGGAAAAACATATTGAAGTTAAATTGTTGCAGGAATAGAATAAAAAGTGAAATTATTGTATGCATATTGAGTAAAACGCGAGCATAATACAGATATGTAGGAAAAGAAATGGCAAATGATGCATAAAAACTGAAACGGGATACAAAATATTCATATGAATTATTCAATTCATGCACATTTTCTATAAGCGTGTATTTAGGCGTATATCCCCATCATGTTTTCTTTCTTACATTTTTACAATGTGCTGTCTACCTCGACCCTAATGTAACGTCATTGTTCTGAGAAGTATGATAAATACACCATAAGCTGTTGGGAATAAACAGCGGTTCAGAATATTCTTTGTAAGAATACTTAGCAGTGCAATTTTAGGTAAGTTAATCTGACATAAATTTTGTTGGAAATGCTTGTTGAGAATTATAGAAAATGTGTCCAAAAAGTGGTTTGTAGGGATTCATTTTCTGAATTACATTAATTACAAAATTATTCACTAATTTGGATTTAAGGATTATGTATTGATTTGGCATCGTTTCAAAATGTCGTCCATCAAAACTTGTTTTTAAGTCCAAAAATAGACAATGCATCCAAAAAGCACCAAAATCGTTGAGATGATGAAATATGGAAGGTAAAAACCTCCAAATCATAAGACATGGACATGGTGCTGGAATTCTTGAATGTTGTAATCACTTGTCAATGATAAATCATACTGCAAGAGAAACCGAAAAGAATAAAACTTATATGGTATGCCGCCACATAGTTAAGTAGCTTCCGATAACTCAAAGACAGAAGTATGTTACCAAAAATCGAAAGTTTGCTTCTATTCAAAGTTTTAATTTATTCTGCTAGCTTGATCTCTTGAAACCATGTCAGGGGCTCAACTAGCATTTAAGCTGTCTGCTTGCATCTGATGTTTATGAGTACAAATTCAAGGCTGATAAAGCCATCAATTAAATATTTTTTAACTCCATGGTCACAGACAAAAAAAAAAGAATTCAGCACGTCTAGAAGAATTATATCGTTAAATTGTATACTCAATAAATTCCTTGGCATTTAAATAATCTACATTCACTTCTTCAAAACATTCTCATTCGCATTCATAATTTAAAATGATAATTCGAGTCGTATCGTATTCGATGATTTCGCTCCATTTGCTTTGAACATTTCCTTCCCAAAAAAACGATTTTTCAATAAATTCATAAATTTATTTGACATTTTTTTATGTCTCCATACTGTGCTGCCACATTCAATTGTCGATGTCTCGTTTTACAATTTGCGGATACGCAAATTGAATACCACTTCAATTAAGATGATTTAGTGAGCCTTCATTCGTCAATAAATTATTCAGAACTTGCTATTAAATTATTTTCCTATGTATTTTATAAATGATGTCGCATTTTCGATATTTTCGGAGAGAAAATGCTTTCCGTCTGAAGGGAAATCGTTGGTCGTGAGATTTAAATTTCGTAAATTAAATTTATGGCACAACGTCATTTCTGTGTTGTGCGGTTTATACTTCAATTGTGTGTTAAAAAATGCTTTTTTAATGCTTATGCCTACTCCAGTCTTATTTTGATGCAGCATAATAATTTTTTATAGATGGAAAAAAATCTCTTATCTTCAGTGTAGCTTACTTCCGTAACTTTTCTTCAGTGGTTCTCAAACTTTGATCCGAGGACTTCTGTTCAAAATCCTAGGCGTGTTAACATCAGGTTGCAGTGTTAACTGCATCGTGAAAAGATAGAGAGTGAAGTTGATGCCCCACTTTTCAAAAAATGTTGAGAAGCACTGCTTTACTTAGTTTACATTTAATTCTGAAAGAAAAAACTGAAGAATTATTGCCCATTTTATTATTGTCTTTCCTTCTTTTTCAACATTTTATGTGAATCAATTTAATTTTCATTTTATTATGTTGAAAAAGACCCAGGTGAAAATCATCTGCTTAATACCATTCGTTTATTGGAGGAGATAATAAGAAGAATATAATAAAACTGGGGGGGACTTATCTACTCTCAATATCTCCTAGCTCTAAAATAAATTTTCAATAAATTATTAATAAACAGTACAACTGTAAAAGATTCATATATATCAGTAATTCCCATCTAGCAAGAGGGCCATAATGAAACAATAATATGGGTTGCGTGTGTAAATTTTCCAACTTGACATCTCTGATAAGGAGGTGAGGAACCCTCTACTTTCTATTTTACACCATGACATAAAACTCTGTGTGTGTTTGAGGATTTTAAAAGTGAATTTCTTGGTAATAATGTAATTAAATCGACCCCTCGAGTGAGGGATTGCTTTATAATATAATTCAAATTCTTGATAATTTTTGTCAAATTAGCAATGCAGATGATAAATTTTTAAGGAACTTACTGGGCTTTGAATTAATGCTTTATTATGAATAAAGTTTTGTTGATCAACTATACATTTTGAATGATACATAGCTTGAAACCTATGAATCGTCCTTTTAATATGTGACTCATTCAAATACCCAACTTATCATTTAAGGTTCAAATGAGCAATAAAAAGAATTACTTTAAGTTCTTACAGAACGAGTGGACTTTATTGCCGACCAGAGTTGTCACCTTTCAATTTCCTTTCAAAGGCAAAAATCTATCACAGGTATTGCCTTTAGTAAGGTATTAAAAATTTGCCTTTAGTAAGGCATCAAAATTTGCTTTTGTCGAAGACATGCCTTCGACTAAGTGAAACCTTTATTAGTAAGTCTAATAGTAATTAATTTATTAAATGAAATAGTACAAAGTATGAGTGGACAATTATTAATATTAGCTCTGGTCTGGCTTTAAATTAAATTTTTCTTGATATGTGTTGGTAAATGAGGTTTGAGTTTTACGAAGTGAAATAATGGCCTTAAAAAAGTTAAAAAAAACGGCCTCTATGTTAAACTTATGTTATAAAATAAAAAAATTATTAAAAGAAAAAGGTAGCTGAAATATTGCTACATTACTGGTTTTGGAAGTCTGTGCTTCGCTACGAAAGGTAAAGAATCAGCGTCGTAATTTCCGAGATTAGCAATGAGATGATTAGAATGAGAATTTGATTTTGAGTAGAAATTGTTCGTGATTTTATCAATATAATCTTTAATTAATGGTATATTAGCAGAATCGTGGATGTCTTTATTTGATTTGAAATCATCCCAGTGGATGTCCAAAATCATACGCAGAATTTTATTCTGAAATAATTGAAGTTTATTAATATGGCACTTGGCAGCATTTACAAAAATAGGACAGGCATAAGTCATGATTGGCCGTATATAGGATTTATAGATCCTCAACTTAGATTCAAGTGAAGCATGAGAATTTCTTTTTAGAATGCAATAGAAACTTGAGAAACTATGTGCGCTAGCTTTATGAATGACGTTGTCGATATGATCTTTGAAGAGCAATTTATTGTCCAAAGTGACTCCAAGATATTTGACTGAAGACTTCCAGTCAAAGGCTAGGTTGTTGTAGAAAATTCGATCATTTCGTGTTTTCTCCAGCATTTTGAAACCTTTATTAGATTCATGTATGGTTGTGCCTATTTTTGATTGAAAATTTCCGAAAAAAAGCACCTCCATGATTTTAAAAAAGATTTTGCTTAGGTAAAGGCAGGGCCTAGGCATAGCCAAGAATTGTTGCCTATTATTAGGGAGTGCCTTTAGCTAGGTATTACCTTTAACAAGACACACTTTTATACCTTTTACTAGGCTTTATACCTGGACATTTCCAAAGGTCCAAATTCCTATTTGATAATTTTGTTATCGACTATTTTATTCAATTGTTCAATTGCAACATAAACTAAACTAATTTAAAAAATTTTCAATAATAATGATTTCTTTCAATTCCTATGAATAATATCAAAAAGTATTTTTGTTCGAATTAAGGCTAAAACCAAACATAGGTTGGTAACATTAAAATATTTCCTTAATATTCTTGTTTCTCAATTCAATGTCAAAAAGATTTCTATGTAATAATAAAATTGAACTCCATATTGATTGAAATTGATTTTTGAAATGTTAGTAACAACGCCTCAAGACCCTTAAAAAAATCACTGGAAATCTCCAACAAAATCCATTTTATAAGTAAAATATCATTTTCTGGTGAATTATAAAGAATTTTTATTAAATAAAGGAAGATTCTAAAAATGAAACTTTCTCACTTTATTGATGGAACAAAAGATTGATTGTCACCATGACGACTTTTCATATTTCATCACATATATCCAGCGATGCTTTTTAATAATGTTTATTAAACCGTATGAAATATTTCAAAAAAAAAACCATGAGACTTCATAGTTGTCAGCAGCAACTTTTGTTTGATTTCTTACATTTTTAATAAAGTTTATTTAATTTTTTAGCTTTGGAAAAATGAAATTTCAATGTTGCATTGAAGGATCAAAATATAACAGCTTTTCAAACATAGCTGAACGATCTGCAGCAAACAGTTTACCAAACGCTTGAATAAAAAAGTAAAAATTATATCAAAAACTGTTCATTCTTGTCATTTAGTCACCCATAGAGTTGTTCCTAATGACAAACAGTTGGATATGATAATGCTGCACATGACTGCAAACAGCTGTCAATTTTTAAAAATATTTGTTACATCTGAAAAACAACAAAAACATAAAAAAAAAATCAAAAAAGACACAATGACTAAAAGTGACATGATATGGAACTAAAATAATCTATGAATTTTCCTGAATTAAAAATCCTGAGTATGCGAATAATGCCCAAGCTTTGTTTGCTATTCAAATAGGAAAGCATTTTTTATTTATTCACAATTTTTAAACAAAAATGAACATTAAGCTCGCATGGCATCCATTCTTTTTTTTGTAAACTACATTGCATGCACATAGATGCCAAATTTCAATTTTATACATTTTCGATGCCGTGTGTACATGTGGGAAAGAGAAATAAAATTCATTGTTTGGAATTTATAAAAAATGAAGGAATAAAGTTTCTTTTTTCATGACATTGCATTTCGATTTAAAATCAATTATTGAGTTCAATTTCTGAGTTTACATTTTATTGTTATTTTTTTTTTCATGCCTGTTCCTACCTCCTTCGTATTTATAGACTGTTTGCATGCATTCCATTTACGGTTTCATCGAATGCCACTTAATTTGCAATTTTCTCGACAATATTGATATCAAAAATAATGAAAAGTTATGTGCTCTTTTAGTTTTTTATTTTATTACATGCTTTTTATTGAGTTGCTCTGTCTGTTGGTTTCTTTGTCACGTTCAAAACTTGCAATCGATTTTTCGACCACTTCTGCTGCTCCAATCGAGCTCAAATTTTTTATTCACACGTATTCCCGGTGACAATACAATATTTTAACTTTTTGAAACCACAAAAATGCTTAATTATAGTAAAATTTAAGTAAAACTTTTTTATATGGGAAAACAATCCAATGTCAATGATATAAAATTTTGATTTGTTTAAAATATTATATTTGAAATGCTCAAAAGTCATTTATGTGATTCATTATAGTTTAATTAATATTACTAAATATTAATTACACTATAAATTTGAGCAGCTAAAGATATTCCGGTAAGACAAAAAAATTGACATGTAATTTTTTCATGAATATTCGTAAGTGAAAATTTGAATTTTCAAAAAAACCGTTAAGCACAAGTCCGTTACGAATTAATGCAAAATAACTATTAATATGAGATATGCATTTAGCACACATAGTTTGAGCATATATTTATGCTGTTTTTAATGTATTACATTATTTATAAAACTTCACCAACTTAATTAAATTTACTTTTCTATTTATTAACGGCTTGAAGTATATTTGTATATAAACACAAAATCTCCAAGATTCATTTTTAATGTCCTTTACTAATGAATGTTTTAAAAGCACAGAAAGCGCACATAATTGAAGTTCAGGATATTTTTTAAGAAGTTTCATCTGTTTCCAGGTATGACTTAAAACAAATGAATGAAAAAATGTAATCTATAAACAGTTGAACGAAACGGAGTAAAACGAAGTGGAGTTGAATTTGAATTGCTGTGGTCGATATTCGATTGAAAGATTGAGACTAAAAAGTAGCAAATAAAAAAAATGTTAAAAAAACTTTTTAAAAAACACGCTTTTTCCCAAAGACTTAAAAAACAAATAACATTTTTTCTTGAAGTTAAATCTGTTGTTAAGACTAAAAACCAAGCGACCAAAACAGGAGCAAATAAAAAAACGTTAAAAAACTTTTTAAAAAACACGCTTTTATCAAAAAGATTAAAAACCAAAAGGTTGAAAATAAAATAAGATCACACTTTTAGCAAATCAGGATTTTAAAAGTTTTCTTGTGACAACTAGAAATGTAACATAAGTTTTTTTCAAAAAATTGTGATTAAGTCCAAGAACACAATGACTCTAAAAGCGTGGGGCGTAATTTAAGGATGAATTTCTTAGTTCAACTAAGTTCTTAAGTAAGAGAAGGTCAAATCTCAAAGCCCCACGCTTTTAGAGTCATTGTGTTCTTGGCCTTAATCACAATATTTTGAAAAAAACTTATGTTACATTTCTAGTTGTCACAAGAAAACTTTTAAAATCCTGATTTGCTAAAAGTGTGATCTTATTTTATTTTCAACCTTTTGGTTTTTAGTCTTTTTGATAAAAGCGTGTTTTTTAAAAAGTTTTTTAATTTGTGTGCTCTTGGTCATGAGAAAATGAACAACTGAAAAATTTTAGCAATTAATACCAGAAATATTTATTTCTTGTGAAAAATGAAAGCATTTAATTGAGAAAACTGGTCTTGATTGAATTGTTATTTTATGTGGGAGGAATTTTTCAATACTAAGTCAAAACTTTCTCATTTTCTCTGCATGACTTTGTAGAAATTTTTTGCAGGAAATTATTTATGGTAATTGTTACTGATATTTTCTCTAAAAATAGAATATAAAATTGAGATAATTTTATTGTACTGTTGTTAGGAGCTTTTGTAACCGAATATGTCGGTGATGAGATAGCTTTTTTGGGTTTTTATGGATCAGACCACTAATGCAGTATATCTGAATATATTTTGTTGAGTTATTTTTAACTAAAGTGCTGAAACATTAGAACAGCTTTGGCATGGGTATGCTGAAGACATTTTGTCATCTCTGTACTTTGATGCCTTCTCCATGACAACTCTATTCAATTTTATGACACTAGGTTTCTTTTAAACAATCCATCTAAGTCCAAATATGTAGATATACCGTGAATTAGAATCTTTCATAGCTACCCAAATGGCACAAGTCAGTTAATCGCTCAGAAATCCGGGACCAAGCAGATGTGACTTTGGCATGGTGCTGGATTTAAAATCGAATCTAGCACCAGGTCAGTTTATGCAGGCTTGGCGCCAGATTTATATTCGATTAACCGACTTTTGCTATTCGAGCTAGTTGAGGAGGTCAATTTGTGCACAAGCGAAGCGACTCAATTGATCTTGGGTCAATCACCAGAAAATGTCTAGTCTTATTTTGGTGCTTTTCCGCTGATAATGCTATAAAAAATCGGATTTTGAGTATCTTCACCAGTCAAATTGTGGCTAGGTATATTAAATTGGGTATATCAATGTCATACAATTATGCAGTATTTAACAAACATGAATAATAAATTAGCAATTAAAAAACAAATCGGCGTTCTGTTCATCGCTTTAAAATCATCAATGAATTATTTTAAATCGCTAATTAAGATGCAGTAGCTCTCTTTAAACTGTTAATCACAAAATATTTTAACTATGATTTTTAGCGCATTTTTGAAAACTTGTTTTCGAAAAGGAAGCTTAATAATGCACTTTGTTCGTTCGTTCGTTTACTCGGCTGGGTAAGCATAAAAGCTTTTTAACCAGACATCGTAGAGAGCTCAGGTTTGTTTTATTAGCTCCTTTACTATTGTTTATTGTCCGATCGAACAGTTCAAAGTCTTGAAACTGTGTATTTATGCTATAATTAATGAATTTTTGTTTTGTTTTCAGTGTTTTATCTTCAGCTGATCTTTGTTTTCAATAAGCAAGGTGTTGATGATGCAATTTGAACCTGAATATATATTCAATTCGGAGATTCATTGCTACTCTTTGACTGTTTATCATCCATCCATGATGAAGTGATTGCCGACCTTCTATAAGCTAGCAAAGGCAATAAGTCGGATCAAAGTAATAAGATTACGTAATCAGATTCAATAACATCTTATCTAAATAAATTCTCGATTTCTTAGTGGGTTAAAATCAAAAAGAAATCAAGTAAATTGAAATTTGTTTTTCTATCAGTAAAAGTAGGCACGAATGAAACCTTTTCCATCAAGTAAAACAATAACATCTGAAGGAAGAAAATAATTTTTACAACATCTTTATTGCCGGCAGATGAATACACAGAAAAAAAAGGAAGAAAAATATTCATAAAAGAGCTAAAAGCTTTGTCTTGATTAATTTTCATGATGATGATGATGAGAGGTTCAAGGATGGTACATGTCTTTATCTGACAGCTATTTAAGTATAACATGTTTTGAGTAAATAAACCA